TAACAGCGTAAAATTTAAATGATTATCTGATAATATATTATCATGAAAAATAATAATTGATATATTATTAAAGGTGGCAGTTCAAAGTGAACATATAAAGTGTATCCTCAAAAATTTCAACCTTTAAAAATTTAAATGATTATCTAATAATATATATTACCATGATAACTGATATATTATTGAAGGTGCCAGTTCAAAGTGAACTGATACATAAAGTATATATTATCTAAATTTAATATAATATATTATTATGAAAAGTAACTCATATGTTATTGAAGTTGCGAGTTCAAAACATACAAGTAAAACAGATTACAATTTGATTCTAGAAAATAAGTGCGACATGTTATTCTTAGTGCACAAAATATAAAAGTCGTTTATTGAGATTTGATTTGAAATTTATACTAGCCCATAATGAAAAATAATTGCTTGTAATTTCAGAGTACCAATTTGTTAATGACTCGGAAAAAGAACATGGCGGCCTGCTCTCAAAAAACTTTGACAAATTTCTCGATGTCCATTTAGAAATAATGTCGAAGTTTTACAGAGTAATTGAGAGAATGGGTAGAATGAAGGCACAACTCTACTTAGACTCTTTTTCAGGAAATTAGCTTTATTATATAATATTGATCGCAATAAAGAAATAACTGTAACATGTAACATCTTAAGGACATTACATAAATTTGATACTGTACCCATTTATATATAATAAAAAAAGTAGCAAATTATTTTAATTTTTATTAAAATTAAGATTTTATAATTAGACCTTTATTCCGCCCCCCCCCCCATCTCCTCAATTATTACAACACTTAAAGTACGACTACGAAAAGTATTACATTAGAACGGTATTTTCAAAAGCTCTATAATGAAGTGAATATATATTATGTCAAACAATCAATAAACTTTTTAACCGTATAGCTTCTTTCTACTTGATTCGAGAACTTTTTATTTTATTATGAATTTTGGGTTTACTTAATATTTGCTCGGTTCAGGCAATAAGGCAACATTTTTTGATCAATAAATTACTCGCTGAAAATATGGTACAAACTCAAAATCGGAAATTGATACGAAAATTCGAAATTTTATTAAAGAAAGAAAATTGGAAACTTTTAATCTGAATCATTTTCATAACTCTTTTATTTCAATACTCCATCCATCGAAAGTTTTTTGAGAGCAGGTCACTATGTTCTTTTTCCGAGTCATTAACAAATTGGTACTCTGGAATTACAAGCAATTATTTTTCATTGTATGGGCTAGTAAATTTCAAATCAAATCTCCATAAACGACTTTTATATACAATATATTTTGTGCTCAAGCAAACGAGAATGGATTGAAATGAATCGAAATGGATTCAGATTTTCAGAAAATTGATTCACGAATGTTAAAATGCTTTTCAATCCTGAATGCATTTTTATTCATTTATAGAAATTGGAGCATATCTCTATGCCGTGGTAATATATTGTTATATTTGCGCACCAAGTCCATGCTGATTACTATTTCCTCTTACATTCTTGTTTTTAATTTGTTAAAGGAATCCCTTAATATTAATTAAACATTATGAAATTCGATTTTTTATTATATAAATACTGTACATAAGTATGCACTTATAAATACATAAGTATGCACTTTTAATGCTATAATATCTTATAGATTGCCAAAAAATTACAATTTTTTCTCTGCGTAGCTATTATCTCTATTGATAATTAAACTCGGATGGTAACATTAAAATTACAATTTTTAATAAAAATCGAGTATTATATTAAGTTTTAAATATTAGGTATGGGAAAAAATTCATGCCGTTTTTTTAATACCATCTAACGGGAAAAACGTCACGAACTTTTTCCCACACCTAATATATGTAATAACATATTTACAAAACTAATAAATCGTGAAATTAGTACTGTTATTAGATTTTTTTTACTCTTCCCAGCAAACGAAAATGGATTAAAATGATTTGAAATGGATTTAGATTTTCAGAAATATTGATTCATGAATGTTAAAATGAATGCTTTTCAATCCTGAATGCATTTTTATTCATTTATAGGAATTGCATGGAGTATATCTCTATGCTTTTTAATCTAAAAATAATATTAGTTTTTTCTGTGCACAAAAAACACATTGTGAATATTCAATTCAACTGTTCAATTCAAAATTTTAACTAGAAAATGCAATTTTTCAATCCAATTGCATTCAATTGAATCTAATTGAATCCAATTGAATCCAATTAAATAAAAAAAATATTCGCTATTTAAAATATGCATTCGGAAAAATTTCAATTCATTTTAATCCATTCTCATTTGCTGGTTAATAATTCAAATTTTAATAGATACGCGAATTTCCATAAGCGCCGATCTCTCTTTATGTCTTTAATAGTATTTCATCGGTACTTCGGCGTAAATCGATCAGTCGTATAAATGTTTTGTAAAAGTTTCTGCTTATCGTCGGTTTAGCCAGCGATGAGATACTATGAAAGACCGATATCCTTACGGGAGTTCGTGTCTTTGAGAATATTGAGAAATGATTAAGAATTAAAAATTGATAATATTGTATTAATTTTATAATTTATTAATTTAGTAGACATATTTATACATTTAGAACTCAATAATATTCGGTTTTTCTTTAAAATTGTGATTTCAGTATTATCGTTAAAGTTTGATTATCAACAGAAATGATAACTGCAGAGAAAAAATTGTAATTTTTCTGCAATAGGATATAGCTTTACAAATACACATTTATTTATGGAACATTATATTTATTTATATAAAAAATTATGATTTAATAATGCATGAGCCAAATATTTATGTTAATAATAGCAAATTTATATCAATTGTCGATAATGTCAGCGTTCTTCAATTATCTCCGGGCCCTTTTTATACCGCCGAAAATTTGTTCGGGGTTGACAGTCTTTAATAGTATCTCGTCGGTGGTTTAGCTTATGCACAATTTAGTTCATGCACTTTACGCTAGACCACATGGATGTTTGTGCTTTCCGTTTACCGGTCATTATCGTCTTCCGCGTGCTTCCGCGGACCTCTGTTTTAAGACCCGCGTGGCAGTGCGTGGTTGTGAATAATTTTCGTTAGAAATATACAACAATATACAGTAAAATCAAGAAATTTGAGTTGCATATAACCAAAGTCGTTGACTTAAGAGAAAAGTGTGATAGAAAGAAACGATCAAGGTATTCCTTTAGAGGACAGACTTTGTTTCGAGGCATCTTATGAAAGCTAGGAAAAAGGCGAAAGAAAAAAATAAAGTGCAATACTGTGCTTTAAAAGTAATCGTAAAGAAGAATTAAAAAAGAACAGATAAAGCTTGATTGCGATTATACGGTGAGTAGTGTTTGACACAATACTTGTTGCACAAAATTTATCGCGATACGCACAATTGTTGTTTGTGGTTAGTTTTCCCACGTGGATGTATTGTGAATTGTTTGTATATTTGAGGACATTTGTCAGTAAGATACAGTATATCATTACATCCTTGTTTATCAACGTCAAACAAAGATTAAGTGGTTCATTGTAATTACATAATGTCTTTTCTGAAAAATATTCCGATATTAGCTGTACAGGCTCTGCTACAAAAGTCTAGTGTCAGTTTTAATATTATCCCGAAAAAAGTTTATATACACGCATGTCAGTGGACAAATTAGTAAACTTTTCTCTTTATCAAGATGCTCCAAATACATCGTATTGATTTTTGGATTTCTTTTTCAGATGGATGAAGTATCACCAAAGGCATATCCACTGGCAGATGCATCACTGACCATAAAGATATTGAATTTGGTACAGCAGGCATTGAGTTATGGTCAACTGAAGAAAGGAGCAAACGAGGCTACAAAATCCTTGAATCGTGGCTTGTCTGAATTTATAGTGATGGCTGCAGATACCCAGCCACTAGAGATTCTACTCCACTTGCCACTATTGTGCGAAGACAAGAATGTACCCTATGTTTTCGTGCGGAGCAAGCAGGCCTTAGGACGAGCTTGTGGTGTTTCGAGACCAGTGGTAGCCTGTTCAGTATTGGTCAATGAAGGCTCGCAATTAAAACCACAGATCAAAGCCATACAACAAGAGATTGAGAGGCTTTTAATCTAAATGATGTCTATCTATTTGTTATTTTTAATACCTCATTATTAGTAACACATAATGTAAATCTTTATTGCTACTCAAATTGATGTGTTTAGCGAATAGTTTGAATGAGCGCTTATTGCTATTGTATATGTATATTTTTTTAGATTTGAGGATTTAGATCTGATGAATCTAAAGATTTACTCCAATCAAAGGCAATACTTACTGAACACTCACTCAGTCGATGTGTTCGCTGAATGCATCCAATATTTGACATGCACGAAACAGTTTTACTGTGCTATATTTATAAAAAAAAAAATCTATATTCAATCTCTTTTACGTATGGAATTTTTTTGTATACAAGATAAACTTAAAACATTAATAAAAAGTCCAAACAAAACAAGATTGTTTTCTACATGTACATATTATAAAAAAGGAAACTTTGAAAATAATTGAATGCTTGAATCATTAAATTCTTATACTAAGAAGTTAAATTGGTATACTAAGAAAAAATGAGGTCCTTTTTTGGAGTAGATGTATATAAGCGCATCATCCTACCTATCATAACTCGCAGATAACACACTTATTTACATTTATCTATTCCAAAATAGGACTTTATTTTTGCTCTTCAGTGTACAGCTAATTTACTCAAGTCTTTTAAAAGTTAACATCAACATTTTAATTTAAAATAAGTAATTATTATCGTACATTTAAGAGTGTGATCTACTTAACACTATAAATACTTCAAAGCTGTATGATTGATCAATTTGTAAAATGTTTTCTTTTAAATTTTAGTCAATGAATTGCAGCGTCAAGTAAATCGCACCATAAAGCTGGGAACAAAGACTTGTATAAGGCATAAGAGATTCAACCAAGCAGAATATGAAATGAAAAACTTTAATTAATTGATTCTCTTACATCTTATGCAGCGTTAAACAAAAATAATGCTTCTGTGCTTACAGTTTAAGTGTTTACACTAATTCTTACTTATTTTTACATAGTCTGAAGAATGTAAGTGTATTGCTGACCTTACTGTAACAAAAAAATTATGTAATGAATTACTAACATTGATTCGACAAATGTATTATGCGGAGAGAAGTATGTTATTCATCGGACTGATGGATGTGATAAGCTCGATGAAACAAAATGTAGTGGAATTTATCGTACTTGCCGAAAATGCAACGCATTTGATGGAACCATTGGATTTTCTCACACCTTTGACAAAATTAGCAGAGACAAAAGAAATACCTTACATTTATATATGTAAGAAAAAGCAACTTGGTCAAGCATGTTGTTTATCTACTGGTATAAGTGTTGTTGCGATCAAGATTGGATCTTCTTACTTCTCTGAGAAACTTAAAGATATCAAACATATAATAATAAGTATGACGCCAAAAAAATCATCAACTATAAATTTATAACGTTAATGGTTCATATGTTTACAAATTAACATCTTATACTTTATTATACATTATAAAACATAATAAAATATTCTTACATATTAATATAATAAATGTCACTCCCAGTTTATGAAAATACAATGGAACAATATAATCAAAATCACTTTTGAAAATAAGGCAATACATTTAACTTCCAGTTACTGTGCCAATCATTACAATTCTGCTGAGATGTAAACATGTTCTCTTGAAACTTTTCACGTAATTGTTGTTGGGTCTTGTTATTGGGAAAATCTTGAAACCACATCTTCAATTGTTCAGCCAGCTCTTTTTCGTCAGCAAATACCAAACTATTCTCATTGTGTTTTACCAATTCTGACAAGCTAAACAATAAGATGCATTCTTTCTCTTAGTAAGTAGATCTACTGATATATACATAATATCTCAGAAATAAGATAGGAGCCGCATTGGGGGCATAGGATGGATCGAAGCAAACAAAAAAGTCTGATATTTTGATATATTCATCACATTTTGAGATATTCATTGTAGTTTCGAACGCCACCGCCGTCGCTGTCGAGCGAGGTGCGATGGGCTACGAATTCGCGCGACGTAGTTTCACCATACATTGACTTACAAGTTTCCTTTTTTTAATTCGAAAACTACAACAAATATTTCAAAATGATATCAAGATTTTTTTGTTCCCCTTGACTTATTCTATACTCCCAATGTTATTTCTTCTCCTCCTTCTATCTTATTTCTGAGACATCCTGTATATAGTAATGTTACATTAATCGTATCACAATATGAAAGTAGGAAAAGGAGGGCAAAAGGTGATTTTATAATAAGAAAAAGGAAAAGTTGATGAATTTGAAGAAAAGAGAGATTTATACAAAAAGAGGAAGAGGGTATAATATACTCGAAATTAATAATAAATAAGGAAAGGATGAAGATCATATTATCGGTATATGGAGAGCAAAGAAAAAAAAAATTAGAAGGATAATATTAATACAATACCAATTAAAATTGTATGCGCAAACTGGTAAACGACAGCCAAACATGTCGACAACTTTCATTGGTAAATCCAGTCCACTGGATGAAGTGTGAAGACACACACCTAAGTCTGCACTAGCTATTTTAAAGATAAAAAGTATTTAAAGTATTCTATAAAAATATTTTATAAATGATTATATTATATCAACTCTACCTAAAATCACTATAATTAAAAAATTCTAAAAGATAAAAAATGTTCATATACTAAAACTTATACTGATACATAAAGTAGATGAAGTCATTAAATATTAGAAGATTTTTAATAAAATATTAATAAAAAAATAAATTTCATTTTTTAATTAGCAATATGCAGAAATATGGACATGTTATACCTAATATTTTGGGATATTCCTCATTCTTGAGCCATGGTGTCTTTATTTCAACATGTTTCCATTTTTTTAAATCAATGATTGCCATATAAAAATCCTTTAATGGTCCTTTACCTGTTATTACGCAAACCAAATCTGGTAAGTTTAACTTGCCATTTTCACACGTGTTCTCATATTCTATAAAAAAATATTACAAATGTAATCCTTTTAAATTATCACAAAATTATTAAATATATTAATATTCACACCTTGTAATGCATTTAGCAAAATTGAGAAATCTTCATCTTCAGTCCAACTAGTACTGGATATAATAAAACCAGATCTGGGCAGTATATATATATCATATGTTTCAGCTAATTTTTGCAAAAACTCATTCTTCTCTGTTAAAGTTATTGGATGAAATTTATCTGTTGGTCTATCATATAAAACCTTTGCTCTGTAATAAAAAAAGTTCATTAACCTTATTTGTTATTAAAATATAATATAAATATAACAACTAACACTTACTGGATAGTCCATTTCTTTTCCAAATCTTCCTTCATTGCTTTGCTGACACAGAAATTATTCTTTGCTCTGCAACCAAAGATTATCTCGATATTTTTTGATAATCTAACTAAGATATGGTTTTCTCCTAAACTCAATGCCATGATTGAATGGGCATAATTATGCCAATCAATAGTAAATTGTGCCTCTGTTAGAACACAATAAAACCAGCATATTGGAATGGTTGGTATTGCAGGTGGATTCTGTGTTATTACTGAATCTGATAGGCGTTTACGAAGCAATAACCATAAAAGATCAGCCGTTTGCCATATCACTTTTATTATGTAACAAAAAAAACGTGGCAATTCTGAAATAATAACAAGAATGCAATTGTTATAAAAATCTATAAACAAATATAAAAAGGTTGAAAAACAGATCAAAACGTAAATTATATAAAAAGGATCATGAGGAAATCTGTAACAAGATAATAATAATATCCAATTCGTACTATTTCGTAACTCAGGAGGCAGTCGCAGATAGTGAATCTGTATGCGCGCATTTTCACTGATCTCCCTAATCGGTGATGAGCCGGGATAACCTATAACATCCACAGTGAAACCTTCTCGGGCGAAGGAAATCGCATGATATTGCATTCGCGGACTTCTGCCAATGTCACCAAGTACCAACACGCAAACATTATTACCGGATTTGAATTTGTTCAGGTAGAATTTACGCACAACAAAAAGAATCAGCGGGAATAGTAGGAATATAAGCATCAACATTTCGAATGAGAACGGAACACGACAAAACAATTAATTCGCGCGGAACCAATAAGAGAACCAATAAGAATCGTGATCACATAGTGGAATCATTCCACTATGGATAATCAAAGATTTAAAAATCAATAGACGCATTCATCGACGAGATATTAAAGATGTTCGGCGCTTATGAAAATTCGCGTGCTTAAAATTTAAATCGTTAAGATCCGGTTACACCAACGTTACTTTAATTTTAAGTGAGGTTTAAAACTCTTTGTTTCTTTGTTCTTTTTTCAGTTTTAAAACGAGATAGAGTTTTAAGTCTCGCATAAAGTCAAACGTTAGTAACCGAGCCTGAGTAAGAAATTAATAAATACAATACTAATTTCATGATTATTAGTTTCGTAGACATGTACATTTATATGTTTAAAACTTAATAATACTCGATTTTAAAAACTGTGATTTTAATATTATCCGAGTTTAACTGTCAATAGAGATGCAGATAACTGCAACCAAGCAGAACAATAAGTCGATAACGTCAAAATGATATCAAAATGAACTGGAAATGATTTAAAAATGACTTTTAGTGATCATTTTGGAATCATTTTGACATCATTTTGATATCATAATGATTTGTTGTTCTGCTTGGACAGAGAAAAAAATTATAATTTTTCAACAATACCTTGATCAAAAAGTTCCCGAAATTACCACCAGGTGATGCTCTGAGTCAACTGATTTGAGTTCTGTTTTTTTGGTTAGGTTGCCACATCTATCATTGATATCCCCACCAAATTTTATCACCATAGCCTATTTTATCACCTTGACATTTGTAAAAGTTACACCGTCTTGAGTATATCTACCTCTGCACGTATTTTCGATTTTTTACTGTTTTAAAAATGAAGTTGAATTTGCAACAACGAGTTTGTATTAAATTTTGCGTTAAAAATGGATTCAATGGTGTGAAAACCTTGGAAATGTTGGGAAACTGTTTTGGCAGTGATACTCTAAAGAAAACAGCCATTTATGAGTGGCATGAACGCTTCAAAAGTGATCGTGAGTCCGTCGAGGATTTCATGAATTACAACGGTATTGTACATCACAAATTTTTGTCAGAAGGTCACACAGTTAATAAGGAGTATTATTTGGGCGTTATGAGACATTTGTGTGAAGCAGCTCGCCAAAAAAGAAAGGATTTGTGGACAAACAACTCGTGAATTTTGCACCATGATAACGCACCGTTGCACAGTGTCATCATTATCCGTGAATTTTTGACCAAGAACGAAACGAATACCATCCAACAGCCATCGAATTCACTTGATATGGCTCTCTGCGATTTTTTTCTGTTCGAGTCAAAAAACCATTACAGGGAACGCGTTTTACACACAATCGAAAGGAGGTAATGGAAAAATCGAAGACGGCTCTGATGGCTAACCGACAATAGAGTTCCAGAAATGTTTCGAGAGCTGGATCAAGCGCTGGCATAAGTGCGTTGCAGTTGATGGAGAGTACTTTGAATGGGACAATATCACTTTTGAATAAAATTAGTATTTTGAATTTTCTGAATGAATTCCGGGAATTTTTTGATCAAGGTAGTATATAAGATATCATAGCAAAAGTACGTATATTTATTTATACAGCATTTATGATAAAAAAATCACGAATTTAATAGTCTATTATCGAAATATTTATGTTAATAATTATAAATATTTACTAATTATTAACTTTAACGGTAATGTCATCATTCTTCAATTATCTCTTCTCGGACTCCATTGATAGTCACGAAAATTCAGGTCCTTATTCTGTAACTCTCTTTACATGCCTATTATAGATATTACTACAGATATTTTATATGAGGAAAAAGCTGCATAACGACATCGACAACTGTCAGTAGGCGTGTAAAACAGTTATAGAATAGGAATCCAGGGCCGACAATTTTTAAAGGTTTGTTCGCGTCGCACGCACTCTAACATGTCCAACACGCTTCAATATGTTCGCGTTACCGGAACCAATATGGCGACTAAATGTTCGCGTGGCATTAGAGCATACTCCATGGATCAATGAAAAGCACGTTTCATTTGCCTTGCCTCAGAAGGTGATACGATTGAAGCATATTATATTATTGGAAGTACAAATTAGTACGGTCCGTTTCCCTAAAGATGGCTCCAGCTGTTGTGAATGGTTCATAGTGACAGCTGATTTTGGCGGTTTCAGAGAGGTTAAACATCTGTTAATAATATTCAGTTATTTCGCTTTGAGTTTCATACAAAAACCTTAATTTTTATTGTGTTTGAAATGTCGAATTTTGTGTTAAACAAGCAGCATTTGCAGGAGGTTTTGATTTTCTGCTTTAATTGGAAGAAAAGCGCGACTGAAGCCCATCGAATGCTTGTCGAAGTTTATGGTGACACTGCTTCAACTGATAAATCATGTAGGGAATGATTTCGACGTTTCAAGAATGGAGATTTCAGCGTTGAAGACAAGCCTCGCTCTGGACAAAAAAATTCAAAGACAAAGAACCACACCCGCCATATTCTCCAGACATTGCTCCTTCTGATTACTGGTTGTTCCGAAGGATGCAGCACGATTTGATAAGTCACTAATTGACTATTTCACTTCTTTTCAGAATTTCGAATTCCATCTCGAAAAAATGACTCGTCTTTGGAGGCAATCCAATTTTGGAGCCAATTTCCAATTTCTATGAAAGAAGTGAATCGGTGACTTGCCAAATCGTGCTGCATCCTTCGGAACAACCAGTAATCAGAAGGAGCAATGTTTGGAGAATACGGCGGCAAAACATTCCATTTGAACGTTTCCAAATATTTTTTTACGACTTTAGCGACATGAGACCGAGCGTTGTCATGAAGAAGAATAACTTTATCATGTTTTTGCTCGTATTTCGGCCGTTTTTCTCGCAATGCACGGCTCAAACGAATCAATTGTAATCGATACCGATCACCCGTAATGGAATCGCCAGATTTCAGCAGCTAGTAAACAAGATCCTTTTGGGCCTATCAGATACAGAGCATGATCTTCGAATCATGATGTTCGGCCGTGGTATTAATGTTGAGGTCGATGGCAACGATTGACCGGGCTTAGCGTAGTATTTTTTTTTCTTGGAGTTGTCGTAGAATATCCACTTCTCATCTCCAGTCATAATCCGATGCGAAAAATTTTTCTCTGTTGTCTTTGAATCAGCTATTCGCAAGTGACAAATCGTCTTTCAATGTCTCTTGATTTCAGTTCATAAGGCATTCAATTTCCTTGTTTTTGAATCATTCTTATGGCTCTCAATCGTACAGAAACGACTTATTGAGTTACTCCCAATGATTCTGCAAGCTCCTCTTGCGTTTGATTCTGATCTTCTTCAAATAATGCCTCTAATTCTTTGTCTTCGAATTTTTTTGGCTGTCCAGACTGAGGCTTGTCTTCAACGCTGAAATCTCCATCCTTGAAACGTCAAAACCATTCCCTACATGATTTATCAGTTGGAGCAGTGTCACCATAAACTTCGACAAGCATTCGATGGGCTTCAGCTGCACTTTTCTTTCAATTAAAGCAGAAAATCAAAACCTCCTGCAAATGCTGCTTGTTTAACACAAAATTCTACATTTCAAACACAGTAAAAATCAAGGTTTTTGAAACTCAAAGCGAATATTATTAGCATAAACTGAATATTATTAGCAGATGTTTAACCTCTCCGAAACTGCTAAAATCAGCTGTCACTATGAACCATTCACAACAGCTGAAGCCATCTTTAGAGAAACGGACCGAACTAATTTGTACTCCCAATATTTATTTTATTTATTTATTTTATTTTATTATTTTATTTTATTTTATTATTTTATTTTATTAATATTATATTATATTGTTATATTATATTTTTATATTTATCAAAAACGCATTTATTATTATTTTATTAAATGTGTTTTTATACAAAATGAATCTGAAATACTTTTTTCGATACAGAACGTTTTCAATCATTACGCATGCGTAATCGATCGAAATAAGTATCAAGTCAGAAGTTTGAAAGTCCATAATTGTAAAATTGTGTTTAACTTTCTTCAGTTGTTATTGATTTAGCTCAGTTAACAATTTCATATAAAACGTCATTGCAAACGAGGATTTCTTCAACAACTATCCCACTATATTCTGTATAAGTAAATATCAATTTCTAATTTAAAAAATTATTATATTTAATTCAATATTAATGAGAATTTATTTTTCACTTACATTAATTTATATAGAATAATCAATCCATAATATTTTAACGCAGGAATAATTAAATAAGATTAGCCTAGACCAATCATTTTTATTATGTATCATATGTTATTTCGTTGACATTGGATGGGGTTACATAAATACGTTTTCTTTATTATCATTGATGAAGACTTTGAAAGTCGAAACGTTTGAAATTTATAGCGTTATATAAATGTAATAAAAGATGAATTTTATTAATTAAGTACATTTGCTCGTTTTTTAAAAAAGCCTTGACATTTTATTTATAACAATTTAACTTATATTTATTAAACATTTAAATTTATTAACAATTTAATTTATATTTATTAAAAACGCATTTATTTTGTATAAAAACATTTTTCAAATAATCGAGATAACATAAAATATCCGAAACGAAACGAGGCACATGTCCGACCCATTCGAGTGGTCTCACTGATTAGGTTAAGTGACATGTTAAGCACTTGTCCTAAATTCGTTTGTATCACTGAACATTGGAACACATGAATGCTGCTCCAACCGCCATCTTACCTGTGATCCAAGTGTTCTCTGGGTTAATTTGGAGCATGCGATATGAACCTTAATAGTAGGTTTGTTTGCATTGCATGAAATTCTCAAATGTTTTTGCACTTAAATTGAGAGATACATATTTTGCTTTAAAAAGAGAGAAAGTGAAAACGTCGAGTGTCAAAAGTCCAAGCAACGTGAGCAAACCTAAAATCTCGTTGATGGCGTGTTCAAATTGACAAAGCGGCTAGCCCGCTCGCCGAGCAAATGAACATAATTGGTTGTTACTTA